AAAAGATTTAGGAGTTCTGGTTAGCAGTAATCTGAAACCAAGACAACAGTGCATAAGTGTTCGCAATAAAGCTAATAGAATCCTTGGCTTCATATCAAGAAGCATAAATAATAGGAGTCCTCAGGTTGTTCTTCAACTCTATACATCCTTGGTTAGGCCTCATTTAGATTATGCTGCACATGTTTTGGTCACCGTATTACAAGAATGGATATAAATTCTCTGGAAAATGTACAAAGGAGGATGACAAAGTTGATCCCATGTATCAGAAACCTTCCCTATGAGGATAGACTAAGGGCCCTGAATCTGCACTCTCTAGAAAGACGTAGAATTAGGGGGATATGATTGAGGTGTATAAATGGAAGACAGGAATAAATAAAGGGGATGTAAAATAGTGTGCTGAAAATATCTAGCCTAGACAGAACTCGCAGCAATGGTTTTAAGTTGGAAAATTCAGATTCAGGAAGGATATAGGAAAGTACTGGTTTGGTAATAGAGTTGTGGATGAGTGGAACAAACTCCCAAGTACCGTTATAGAGGCTAGAAACGTTGTGTAGCTTTAAAAATAGGTTGGATAAATACATGAGTAGATGTGGGTGGGTGTGAGTTAGACCTGATAGCTTGTGCTACCAGGTCGGTTGCCGTGTTCCTCCCTTAAGTCAATGTGACCTGACCTGACTAGGTTGGGTGCATTGGCTTAAGCCGGTAGGAGACTTGGACCTGCCTCGCATGGGCCAGTAGGCCTTCTGCAGTGTTCCTTCGTTCTTATGTTCTTATGTTCTTAAGTTGTGGTGGCGTACTTGGGGGTGTGGGTGGTGTACTAATGGGGGTGTGTACGCTGATGTACTTGGGGCGATGTACGTGGTGGAGTGTGGTGGTGTAGGAGTAGGATCTCTGGGTTAGTGATGTACGTGGGGTGGTGGTTTCATGGCATGGTAATGTACGTATATTGACAGTGCGTCTAGCAGTGGGTGGTGCTGTTGTTAGGTCCGTGTGGATGTTGTCAGGTCCATGATACAACATTTACGCACGTGGTGGTCCATGATACAACATTTACGCACGTGGTGGTCCATGATACAACATTTACACTGGTGGTCCAATATTACAACATTTACATAGATGGTGGTCCTTGGTACAACATTTACACAGGTGGTGGTCCATGATACAACATTTACACAAATGGTGCTCCATGGTACAATTACACAGGTGGTGGTCCATGGTACAACATTTACACAGGTGGTTTTCCATGATACAACATTTGCACAGATGGTGGTCAATGGTACAACATTTATGCAGGTAGTGGTACATGGTACAACATTTATGCAGGTGGTGGTACATGGTACAACATTTACACAGGTGGTGGCACATGGTACAACATTTACACAGGTGGTGGTACATGGTACAACATTTACACAGGTGGTGGTACATGGTACAACATTTACACAGGTGGTGGTACATGGTACAACATTTACACAGGTGGTGGTACATGGTACAACATTTATGCAGGTGGTGGTACATGGTACAACATTTACACAGGTGGTGGTACATGGTACAACATTTACACAGGTGGTGGTACATGGTACAACATTTACACAGGTGGTGGTACATGGTACAACATTTACACAGGTGGTACATGGTACAACATTTACACAGGTGGTACATGGTACAACATTTACACAGGTGGTACATGGTACAACATTTACACAGGTGGTGGTACATGGTACAACATTTACACAGGTGGTGGTACATGGTACAACATTTACACAGGTGGTGGTACATGGTACAACATTTACACAGGTGGTGGTACATGGTACAACATTTACACAGGTGGTGGTACATGGTACAACATTTACACAGGTGGTGGTACATGGTACAACATTTACACAGGTGGTGGTACATGGTACAACATTTACACAGGTGGTGGTACATGGTACAACATTTACACAGGTGGTGGTACATGGTACAACATTTACACAGGTGGTGGTACATGGTACAACATTTACACAGGTGGTGGTACATGGTACAACATTTACACAGGTGGTGGTACATGGTACAACATTTACACAGGTGGTGGTACATGGTACAACATTTACACAGGTTGTGGTACATGGTACAATATTTACACAGGTGGTGGTACATGGTACAACATTTAGACAGTTCACAAGTTTTCGTTCTAGAAATTTTATTGTTATTATTATTAGTAGTAGTAGTAGTAGTAGTACTAGTAGTAATAATATAATTAGAGACAAGTTTAGAGGTTGAAAGGTGTTTTCCTACCTCACTTCTTCTCAAATTCCATTCTTGTCTAAGGAATATTATCATCCCCAGGATGCCGCCTGTAAATGTCGACTGATACGCAAGTACCTATTTACTGGTAAGTGAAGAAGGGCAGCAGGTGTAAAGAAATTAATTGCTATACTTTTGCACCCGCCCAGGAAATAACCTGAGTCCTTGGTTTGTAGCCGTGTGTGGGGGGAGGGGCGTATGGGTCGCGCGCGTAGTAGGTCACATTAAGCAAGTTTTTTTTTTTTTTTTTTTTAAGAGGCGCGTGTTGACGCAAGCTCGACATTGTTTAAAGGCCTCTCGCTTCCTCCCCCGGCGTTTCTCCCTTCCTTCTTTCCTACATTTCCTCCTTTCCTTTCTTCCTTTGCCTACATTTCCTCAGTAAGTTTCAGAAGAGGCGGAAAGAAATCATTATTGTTTCACTGGATGAGTGAGGGTAACCACAAATAACTAGTTGTCAGTGTGACTTTCATAATGTGGAAAGCAGAGCAGTAGCCAGTTCTCCAGGTGGAGATACCTGCAGTGCACGAGCACTTGCACCTCTGTGCCTACCTGAGACGTGTCACGGGTGCTGGGTAATCATATAAATAAACTGGGAGACGAGTGACAAAGGCTATTCCACTGACCTCGTTCTATAGTAGACTTTTTACTTTTTTCACAGCTCGTATAGTCAATAAAGCATTTAAATCACTTGGAATATACATACTCGGTCAGAGCCAGGGTGTATACATTGTCAGAGCCAGGGTGTATACATTGTCAGAGCCAGGGTGTATACATTGTCAGAGCCAGGGTGTATACATTGTCAGAGCCAGGGTGTATACATTGTCAGAGCCAGGGTGTATACATTGTCAGAGCCAGGGTGTATACATTGTCAGAGCCAGGGTGTATACATTGTCAGAGCCAGGGTGTATACATTGTCAGAGCCAGGGTGTATACATTGTCAGAGCCAGGGTGTATACATTGTCAGAGCCAGGGTGTATACATTGTCAGAGCCAGGGTGTATACATTGTCAGAGCCAGGGTGTATACATTGTCAGAGCCAGGGTGTATACATTTCAGAGCCAGGGTGTATACATTGTCAGAGCCAGGGTGTATACATTGTCAGAGCCAGGGTGTATACATTGTCAGAGCCAGGGTGTATACATTGTCAGAGCCAGGGTGTATACATTGTCAGAGCCAAGGTGTATACATACTCTGTGAGAGCCAGGGTGTATACATAATCTGTCAGAGCCAGGGTGTATACGTACCTGATAACATAAACCTGGCAGATATTGTAGGCCTATTTTACGAATCTGTGCACTATTATAAGTGTGAAGTGTGGGAAAAGGTGTAAAATCCAGTGGAAATAAGAGGTGGCGTGGACACACTGAACACCTGTGGTCCACGCCATGGACACTGAAAACCCGTGGTTCAAAACTCGGCATATATCAGAACTATTGTCAAAACAGGTATAGAAGTTTTCAAGAAGAGACTGGATTACTGGTTGATCTGTCAAGTGCCAGATCAGCCAGGCGTCTGTGTGATGACAATGTGAGCTAGCCTTTCCCTCCTCACTTCCCCCCCCTCCCCCCACACACACACACCGCGCGCTCGCGCATATATATATATTCTGGAGTTCATCTGGAGAGAGTTCCGGGGGTCAACGCCCCCGCGGCCCGGTCTGTGACCAGGCCTCCTTAGGTCAGTGTCCCAGGATGCGACCCACACCAGTCGACTAACACCCAGGTACCCATTTTACTGATGGGGAACATAGACAAAAGGTGGAAAGAAACACGTCCAATGTTTCTACTCTGGCTGGGAATCGAACCCAGGCCCTCGCCGTGTGAAGCGAGAGCGTTAACCACCAGGCCACCAGAGCCCTTATATATATATATTTATGGATTGCTTGCTGTAAGATTCACTGTAGGAAATGCACTTAAGTTTATTATGATCAAACTGGAAAAAGCCTTGAAGTAGCATTACGATAACATAAATATAGCATTAGAACTGGACAAGAATCTAATTCTCTGTTTATGCATGCGAGAGATTTTAACCCGCAATCTATTTTCGGAATGCAGAGAAGGTTGTATAAAGTCCATAATTGAGCGAAATATAATTAAATCAAGCTTCAAAAATAGTACTGATTACAATATGAATATAAGTTATAGGTTGTATACATTACATATATTTATAATGAGAATTTGAGAATATTTTAAATTACGCCTGGCATGTAGTCTTAATTTTTTTTTTTTTTTTGCATGTGACCTAACTAAATCTTCACTAGCCTCCCACGTTCAGTGTGTAGGGTCATGTCACAGGTCATATTTCACTTTTATAAGTCTTCTCTTGTCCTCTTATTTTTAATATTTCTTGAAAAATCACAAAACCTCTTTTAATTTCGCTATTTTTCACTATTTTGCTTTGTGTGTGTATATATTTTTATAGTTATATTTTAGATTCTGATGATGGATGAAGAAACATCCGAAACGGTAATAAAAAAATTGTATATCCATTAAGGGTGGTGTTTATCACAACCTTGGAATATATATTGTGTTGATGTGGATTATTAAATGCAATTTGTGTTGAATATGTTTGATAAACGTTATTCTTTGTGCAATGACATTAAATTCACATAGATATGTTAAATACACTGATATGTTGACTGTAGAGAGACTTGCTCTTCAAATTGAGTACAAATATTTTAATTGATGCAGAAGTTGATTAACATTGTTGTTGTTGCAGAAGTTGAAGGGTGGAACCACTGCAGTGGTGGCGCTGGTGAGGGAGAAGAGGCTGGTGGTAGCCTGGCTGGGAGACTCCCAGGCCCTGCTGGTGCGTAGGAGACACCCACTCAGGATGGTTGAACCTCACAAACCTGAGCTCCCTGTAAGTATTACAACCATCCACACCACCACCCATCTCTCTCTCTCTCTCTCTCTCTCTCTCTCTCTCTCTCTCTCTCTCTGAAGTGTGTCCACACGAGAATAAACATGATTCACACACCAGAATACACATGATTTACAAACCAAAATAAACACTATTTACACTCCAAAATAAACGTGATTTAAACTCCAGAATACACATGATTTACACCAGAATACACATGATTTACACCAGAATGCATATGATTTACACACCAAAATAAACGTGATTTACACACTAGAATAAGTATGATTTACAAACCAGTATAAAAATGATTTGCAATCAAGAATAAACATGATTTACACACCAGGATGAATGTGATTTACACACCATGATAAACATGATTTACACACCAGGATACCATGATTTACACACCAGGATACCATGATTTACACACGCTTGCTTTTCAATATGGACACCTTGTGCAATCTGCTAAAACTCTTACTTTAATGGGAAAGGATTTGTGTATGCAAATTTGGGAACATTCCTTCTAGAATTTTCCAGGTGTAAATTATAACGTATCTTTGTTTCCTACGTTCCAAGGAATACATATAAAGGGACTTCGAACGTCTTTACTAATTTAATTACTTAATTGAATCGGTGCGAGAAGTGAAGGTTCTCTTCATATTCTCCAGGTCTACAGTTTCGCCCGTCTTGAACAGAGTTAGAGTACAGCAATACTCCAGCCTAGAGTGTCATCATTGGCTTGGCATCTCATATTTTGAAGATTGATGGTAACGATATGGCAAATACTCGGAGGAAAACTATAATACACAAAGGCACAGGTGGAAGTTACAAACACACGCGAGTCACGGGAATGTGAGTACGTATTTTTCTCAGCTTCAGAGTGTTCAGGAAGTAGAATCACCTGAAAAGTAAAGTAGTAGAGAGAAGAATATGTATGATAGGGATCACAAAGCCACAAGAGAGTAAAGCCTTTAGCAGCCAGTTTGAAAGGCAGGGTCAGGAGCTGAGACTCGACCTCTGTAACAACAATAACACCATTGAGTGAGTCAGCATGTTACAGAGACTCTTGTCTAGTGAGTTTTCAGTGAGGACTGTAATATATTTATGCTAGACTAGCACTGGAGTTATTCCTTGAATGTTGACATAAGTGATAATGCTAGAACTTCAAGAATGGATAACCAGAACCTTCAAAACAAGAGATGCCAATCAAATGGTCACCTGTTTTCTCTAGGCTGGAATATTACTGTGCGTTATCAGCCCCTTTTTAAGGCGGCCGAAATTGCTGAGCTAGAGAATGTACAGAAAATTTTTACTGCTCGGATAAATTCAGTGATGTACCAAAATTCCTGGGAGTGCCTGAAGTTCCTTGACCTCCCACTCCTTGGAAAGGAGAGAAAGCTGCGTCATAATTTACACCTGGAAAAGTCTTAAGAGGGTCTCTTCCCTAATCTGCACACGGAAATACACTAATCAGTCAAGGAGTGGTGTTGAACCCCTGGCAGCAGAGTCCTTAAGACTCGCTCACTAAGGGTTCAAACTCACCCGTTCCCTGATTTTTTTTACAATCGTGTTATTACAATTTCGTGAGTTAGAAACACGTACATTCACTGACGGTGTGGCGACGCTGGCACTCTAGTAGTCAACAGTAAACTCTTGCTGCTACTGCTTTTGTTGAACATTTATATTGACATGAAATTAATGTTCGTTTCAAATATATTTCAGAAACAATAAATCTACCTGTTCACGATATTAAAAAAATAGCATAAAATAAATATTTTGACCTTTTATAAATATTTTCATGACATGTGGGACGCAAAATGGTACCTTTGAACTCCCAGTAAATTGAATCAGAAAAGTATTACTTACCATTATTCAGTTAAATAATTGCAAAAGGTTGACTGTGTAATATTGAGTTTATGGCCTTCAAAGAATTATTTTATTTTTATTTGTGTAACTCTGTCCATCGCCTGCAAGAAATAGTATTTTTTCTGCTTTATTTTTTTTTTTTTTGTTTTGAGGAAGATACTAACAAAATTAATTTTGTAAACTGAAAAAAAAAATGATCATGGGTATTTTTCATCTGGAGAAGACTAAAAAAAATAAAAATACAGACCCTTGTTTAACTATTACTGCCAACTTAACCCAACACATTCCAATCGTCTCTAACCCAACTTAACTTTATTCTACGTGTGCATGCCACAGGTAGAATAATTATATAGGCTGGTCCAGTCAGTGCCGGTGACTCCTGCCTTGGTGATGTCAACACTTCCCATACTGCCGACACCCGACAGTGATCATTGGTCTACACTGGGTTACTTAAGTTGCATTAGATTAGGTTGGGTTGTGTTTGGGTAGATAAGGTTAAGTTGGGTTAGAGACGATTGGAATGTGTTGGGTTAAGTTGGCAGCAATAGTTAAACAAAGGCCTGTATTTTTTATTTTTTTTAGTCTTCTCCAGATGAAAAATACCCATAATATTTTTTTTTCTGGTTTACAAAATCTCCATTCCACAAACCAATCGATATTTCTTTCCGTTATAAATTTTTGCAGCTGTGTGTGTGTGTGTGTGTGTGTGTGTGTGTGTGTGTGTGTTGTGTGTGTGTGTGTGTGTGTGTGTGTGTGTAATGCACACACAATCTTCAGTATTCACAAGAGAACTTTTTTGCATCCAAAATTCGCTGAGGTATTGTGCATATTGCAAATTGTGCATATTCTAGGTTGTTACATTCTTATTTCTAGTTTTTAATGTTCATTTTTAATAGGATCGCTGATTGTATAGATTATCATTGAATCTAAGACAAAATCTTTGTGGAAACATAGTTAATTGAAGATCAAAACTTTTACATTGTTTTGTCTGTATGTACAAAAGACGAGACTAAAGGTGGACACTGAATATAATGTTTAAGGTACAAGCTGACTCTTTGAGGTTAGACAGTCATAACGGTAAACCAGCAGTGTATACAGGCAGTTATATATTTAAATCTTGTAAACACGTTACCATTATAAACAAGAACCATTGTTGTTAGGTAAGACACATATGCAACAGTTAGACAACTTTATTCCGAAACGTTTCGCCTACACAGTAGGCTTCTTCAGTCGAATACAGAAAGTAGGCGACTGAAGAAGCCTACTGTGTAGGCGAAACGTTTCGGAATAAAGTTGTCTAACTGTTGCATATGTGTCTTACCTAACAACCTGTCGGTATTGTATACCATTTTGATGTTCAAGAACCATTGTAAACACGAAGTAAACTATTGTAAACACGTGAACAGATGTAAATTGTCGACCATTGTGAACACATGAACAAATGTAAATAACAGACCATTGTGAATGTGAACAAATGTAAATAGTCGACCGTTGTAAACACGTGAATAATTGTAAATAGTCGACCATTCTAAACACTTGAACAGTTGTAAATATGCTACCACTACAAACATTAACAGCTGTCAAATGTGAACATTTGTAAGTGTTCGATCATTATCAACACAAAAAAATGTAAAGCAGGTGAACAGTTGTAAATATACGACCATTCTAAATAATTACAATAGTAAACAGGTGACATCAGATATCAAGTAGTCTTCTACACTCACTCAACAAAAGAATGTTTAGTTGACTGTCAGCATTACATGTAATGTTCCTAACATTGTTTACCCATCACTTAGTCTGTGCTTCAGTAAATAACGTGGGTGTATCAACACCCAGTAAACAACGTGGGTATATAAACACTCAGCCCATCCTTCAGTAGTCAGTTTGGGGTAGCCAACACTTCACTATAGACAGCGATGGATTACCAACGCTTCAGGAACGACGATATGTCTGCGTTAGTGAACGTAAGAATCTATTATGACGGATATAATTCTAATCCACCTTGATGATTAACGATTCACAACACGGATTCATAAGACGCCAGTCATGCCGAACAGATCTACTGACATTCTTTAGTAATACATAAGAACATAAGAAGGAACACTGCAACAGGCCTACTGACCCATGCGGAGCAGGTCCATCCCCCCCGATTAGATCAATGACCCCCCCCCCCCCGGATTAGCCCAATGTCCCACCCAGTCTGGTCACCTCCACTCAAGGATGGAGCATTGCACCAGACCCAGCAGCACAAGCTAGTCAGGTCCAACTCACACCCACCCACACCCACTCATGTATTTATCTAACCTATTTTTAAAACTACACAACGTTTTAGCTTGAATAACTGTACTCGGGAGTTTGTTCCACTCGTCCACAACTCTATTACCAAACCAGTGCTTTCCTATATCCTTCTTGAATATGAATTTTTACAACTTGAAACCATTGCTGCGAGTCCTGTCTTGGCTGGAAATTTTCAGCACGCTATTTATATCCCCTTTATTTATTCCCGTTTTCCATTTATACACCTCGATCATATCCCCCCTAATTCTACGCCTTTCGAGGGAGTGCAGATTCAGGGCCCTCAGTCTATCCTCATAGGGAAGATTTCCGATACATGGGATCATCTTTGTCATCCTCTGTACGTTTTCCAGAGCATTTATATCCATTCTGTAATACGGTGACCAGAACTGAGCAGCATAGTCTAAATGAGGCCTAACCAAGGATATATAGAGTTCAAGAACAACCTGAGGACTTCTATTATATATACTTCTAGATATGAAGCCAAGAATTCTGTTAGCTTTATTGCGAACACTAATGCACTGTTGTCTTGGTTTTAGATTACTGCTAACCAGAACTCCTGAATCCTTTTCGCAATCAGTAGTATTAAGATCTACATTATTTAGTTTATATGTGGCATGGTTATTTACCTGTCCAACATTTAGAACTTTGCATTTGTCAATATTAAACTGCATCTGCCACTTCTCCGACCATTGCATCAGTCTATTCAAATCATCCTGGAGTGCTCTAGTGTCCTCATTAGAATGAATTGGACGGCCTATTTTGGTGTCGTCAGCAAATTTGCTTATGTCGCTATTTATTCCCTCATCTATGTCGTTTATGTAAATTGTGAACAA